CCGACCAGCGCTTTCGCACCACCTACCACGCCGGGCGGCAAGATGCTGCCTAGAGCTGGACTCAAACCTGGCACCACCGACCTGGCACGCGATGTCAGTAGGCAAAAGTTCAACGAATTGCTCATTGAACTGCACGAAATTGTGAGTATTGCGTGCATGCGATGCACTTTGAGATGGCGGGAGGCAAGCCGATGCTCATCTGCTTGACGCAAACACTTTGTTCTTTGCAGGCCGGTGATGCAGGCGATGACGGCATGTAGAGCATTATTGTTGAGAGGTTTTTGAAAGTCTTTTGCGCGTGACTCTGCAAGTCGGTGCAACACGTGCGAGGACGTCATTGCACCTTGAGGTAATCTCTTGCACGTTGTGCTTCTCCGTCAGACACTACCACAAGCTCAGCAATACTCTTGCACTTGGCAACATTCCATTCCTCCCGCATACATGCATTGTTGGCTCAACTCTTCCAAGCTTCGTCCCGACTGTCACCATTGCCAGCCTGGAGATTTCCACTGGTTTCGCAAGGGTGCATTAGTGGGCGACACGCCGCCCGTTCCGATGCTGTAGGCCTGCCTCCTGACTTCCTTGAGCTTGTTTTCATCCTTTTGAGATTGAAGCAAGCCTTCCCTGAGGATGATGTGAAGCCTGCAATACTTGTGTTTCCTGACGCCCGATCTACCTCTTCCCTTGATCTCCAACCTCTTGAGCGTCCTGTGCTTGTTCACCCAAGCCTCTGCCACGACCAACTTTTTGCCATCCAGACCTTTGGCGATGGCGTGATCCTTGGCCAACGCGAGGGTGGACTTGATGCGCTTCGCAGCTCGCTTCTTGCTAAACTGCATTTGCAAAATGGCAAAATCCAAAGGTTTTCCGCTGCCAATCTGATCCGCCAACATTTTCAGCTTGCGATTTGAAATCTTGAATGGAGCGGTAGAGTACTTGTGCTGCGTCTCTTTGCGCTGAACGATGCCTTGCGAGTCGATGTAGTTGATGGGCTTGTAATACCTCTTGCGCGCTTTGCGAGCTTGCGATTTCAAAAGCTTCGTAGAGACGGATGGCACCACTCCTTCGGGCTTTTGCATGTCCTCCAGCTCATCCTCACTGTACGGTCTATCCATGCCCAGTTGTCTGTAGAGTGCATTCTTGCGCTTACGCAGGTTGCGCACCGTGTCGGACCATGTTCCTGCTCGTAGCGCAGAGCTTTGGTGCAGACTGAACAGGAGAGGAGAGAGAAAGAGAAGAACATGCGTTCAGATCAAATAGGAGTGATGACCGGCTTTGCACGTGTGCTAGTAAGAGCATTTGGACACGTTGGAAGCAAGCGCAGAGACTCACCATCTGACACTTGCGCTTGGACTTTGCATCATCACCGACGTCCTCATTCTGCTGCTAGAGACAGTCCGTGTCGCAGATGACATCCTCGTGCCGTGCAAGAGTTGTGTATTCATCCTGCTGACCGACGGACCTGCAATACCACCAAGTCCAGCTGCCGCTCCCGCTCCAGATACCGTTGTGCTAATCAAAGCACCGACCGATCGACCAGCCATTCTCGTCGTTGGGTTGTGAGGGAGGCCCGCAGAACCTGAGGTAGGAGCGAGAGGATGGGGTCGTGTGTCTGGGCAAGAGAGTCTGCGAAGTAAGATGCAGTTTGAAGTGGAAGAGTGCCCAGGGGAAGAGAAGGCAGCAGTGGAGAAGTACCTGGTCAAGAGAAGACAAGAGCGACGAGTGAGATGATAATGTGAAGTTGTGTGCTGTGCACGTCTTTGTGTAAGCTCCGTCAGCAAACGCTCAGGACGGAGCGACTCGTGACTTTCTTCCCACGCGTATGTAGAGCACGCCTAAGCACATCCACGTGGCTGCTGCTGGCCTCGCGCACCAAAGTTACAAGTCAGAGTGGAGTCACGGTCATGTAGGTATCTATCTGCATGCAGTCAAAGTCGCAACAGTCGTGAGTCGTGAGTCTGAGTTGTGAGGCTTGAGTCTTCAGGCGCCGTGGATCAAGACTCACGACTTTTGGCTGGGGATACCATCCTCAATCGTGAATGTGAATGTTTCCACATCAGATCACACCACATCGCATTCCACCACTCGCTTTGGCTCCGAATTGCCTGGGCTTGATTCCTACTGTCGCCGGGGCGGACGTCGCCTGCAAGCACCGGGCAGGATGTCGAAATGTCCTCGATGTGCACTTCGAGTCCTTCTCCCTCTGCGCAGGCGTGAGCTGTGCACATGGAAACGAGCGGCAGCAGACGACACTGTTCGTCTCACACAGCTTTCTGTCAGGCATTCAACGAGCGCACAGTCTCCCATATACGGTCCTCGCTGCCGCTCCCGCTCTCTTCCAGCAACATCCCTCACTTCAACATCCCAAGCTGCTACCTCAACACCCTCCACATCGTCCGATGCGGGACTTGCAGCTGTCCAATCATTCTCTGACCTGTCAGATGCGCGGCACGACCATTCTCGGCAGAATAAAGAGGATGCCATTTGCAAGTCGCGAGATGCGCGTCTTGACGGGCATGGCTTGAGAGAGGATGGAGGCTGGAAAGGCAGTTCGGACAAAAAACGGTCGGTCAAGGCCAAGGACGTAGCGAGGAAAGAACAACTTCAGCAGAGCATTGTGCCGACCTTATATTTATCCAGCACAGCTTCGTCGCAGCAGCAGCAGCATTCATTCGATTTGCATTCCGAAATCACGGTCAAAGGACTTCGATACATGTGTCAAGAACACGCTTCTTCCGAATTCCTCTCCTCTTTTCAAATATTCGACAAGTTGCTCGAATTCGTTGGTGATCGTTGGAAGGAGAATTTGGTCAGGCCTGCAAAGATACAGGAAGCTTTTAGGTTGATGGGTGGGTTTGCGAGGGAAGAGGGGCAAGTGATGAGCATGTATGCGTTGATGAGGCGGGTGGCCAGAGCTATGAGTCAGCCGTTGCTGGTAGGAGATGGTGCGGATGATATGGGTGAGTCGGTAGGGTGTGATGCTGTGCTGTGCTCGCCGGGGCGATGGGACGAGAGGATGCCTGACTTGTTTGGGCTCAAATCTCGAATGGTGAACGACTGACTGGAGCATCCCGTCTGCCTGCCTGCTCCCGACAGTGGAGAGCCTGTGCACCCTCGGCTTTCCAGAATTGGCATTGGATGCTCAGCTCAAAGAGGGCGACGGAAGCTGCGCGATAGGCTGGAACATGTCCAGATTGTACTTTGCAGTCTCCACAATGTTTGTCAAAGCTTCTACTGGCAAGTACGGAGATCAAGATCTGCTCAACAGCGCAGGATTGCCCGGCATGCCAGACGCTCAAGATGCCGACGAATTTCTGGAGAGGATATTCCAAACCAATGGAGGAGATCCGAGGACCGTGCGGTCAATCTTTAGTCGAGAGGTCACTTCACATCCTCCCGACGTAGTGGACGCGATGCAGGGAGGATGGATGAGCGCTACGCCTGTCCGAAAGACGGCAGAGAGCGTGCAAGATTTCGAAAAGAGAACGGCTAGACTTGGGATGTTTCGAAGATTGGTGCCGTTGGTGTACGTCAGTCCTTCGGTCAGGTTGGAACATCGAACATCCGCGTTCGAGCCGTACGATCCCTATATTCTTCTGATCAGCTGCGCGACACTCATCCAAGCCGATCCAGCGCGCAAGAGACTGATCCACAGGATGCTCAGGGCTCTCAACGACTCGATCATTGCGTACGGCAATTATTCGAAAGCGCAAGAAAGAAATGTGAGGGATAGTTGGAAGGCCATGAGGAGATCTCGACAGAACATTTTGACTTTTGAAAAGGCTTGGGGTATTGTCAAACGTTGGATGGATGAGAACGATACGAGCACGGATAGGGAAGCGTGGAGGAAGGGCGACTGGTTCGTGTCGAGGGACTTCTTTCTGGCCAGGTTTCAAGATTATCCGCTCTGCAGGAAGAGCGAAGCTGTCGTCAGTAGACTGTGGAAATCGACGTGAGTTTCGACGACGAATATCTTCCGGGATGAAGTACGGTATCTAGGGGCGTATATGTAGCATAGTCACCATCATCACACCTGTATGCATCAGACATCGTAATACATCCAATGTTGTAATCGCGTACGACATGCCGTGTAAAGCGCACCAGCTGCTCTCCGGACGGCTCTGTTCTCGCTCGAAATGCACCCGGCCATTTGCAATGGTAGACTGCGGATCTGATTATTTCTCGTCATGCGTCCGTATTGGAACTGGAGTCCTTTTTGCCTCCTCGATCTGAATGTCCGAGCGAATGGTATGGCGCTATCAAATCTCTGATCCTTTGTTTCTGTGCCGCGAGGGATGGGTGAGATGATCCGAGCGAGGCAAGAGGAGCATCAGAGAGGAAAAGTCGGGAATCAGCGCGTCTATTGCGTGTGCCTGGCCCAAGATCAGCTTGCCCGAGAACCTCCTGAAGAGTAACAGGCGACCTTTGAGCGCGAGGTGCCACGTTCTGTGCTATTCGCTGTCCTACGCGCTCTCCCTAACAACCACCGCCCCCCCTTGACCTGGCCACTCCGCCTCACTCAGCGCAAAGGCACACAATCAGCAGACATGACTCTCCATCACTCACCAACACTTTGACCTCTGGAAAGCCTCCCTCGGACTTTCGATCGCTGATGCATATCGTCTGGTTGTGCGAGGTGATGATCCACACCCTGAACCTTCCGGCCGTCTCGTCCCTCGTCATGGGTATGAGCGTGCTGCTCCTCAGCACTGCACCCCCCGAAGCTTTCGACGGTGCCGGTGCCGGTGCCGGTGCTGGTGTCGATGTGGATGTTGTTGCTGGAGGTGGACTAAAGGTGATGAGGAGTTCGGTCTGCACCCAACTGGCTCGATGGAGCCATCTACAGCGGTCGCAGAATTCGATAATCAGACTGGGCGTGGTGTTGCTGGACGAGTTGGAGGTGTGGAGTGGAGCTGGAAAATCGTAAGAGGGAATGCTGGGTGGCAGATCTGTTGGTGCTGTTGAGTCGGGTAGAGACGATGGCACTTGGCTCGCTACGGTAGAGCTCAAAGATGTAGGGACTTCTACGCTACACGAAACGCAATCCGATTTCTCTTCACCGCTCGCCTCATTTGAACTCATTTTGAAGTTAGAGGCTGGTCTCTATCTGCTGCAATGGTGCAGCGAAAGAATTTGAGAGCTGGCGAGCACGCAGGCTTTGATTGTATGCTGGGATGGTACTTCAAGACTTGAGCTCGATGTTGTTGTCGTCGAGATCGGACGATGCAAACCAGTCGCAGGCAAGTGGATCGCGGATGGCGCTGCCGAGAGTCTTAGTGTGGATCGGATCGAGATGGAGTTGAAGCTTGATGGAGCGTGAAATGATTGCAGGCAAAGATCGAACGTTTGATCCACTTGAATCTTGGATGTCGTTGGGAGCGTGGCTGTGGATGAATGTCAACTTACTTCCACATTCATAATTACCTTTCAAGATTACGTCTTATCGCAACCCGCGCAGACATCCTCACGTGATCGTAATCTCGCTGATCCCCCCTTTTTGGACGACGTTGCGTTCTCGCTCTCGCTGCGCATCGTGGAGCGAGTTCCGAGAAGATGTGTCGCCGTCAGCGTCGTGACGGGGTTCGCATGTGCCCAAGTTGCCTGGAGTCGACTCGGCGACTCGCGCTCGATAAGGACTCGTGAATCGAATCACATCATGAATCTGAATCTGAATCTGAATGCGCTCCGCATGTCACGCACGGAGGGAGGCGTTCGTTGACTTACATTCGGCCGTACCGTACACGTAACAAGCATTCACGTGATTTCACCAAAGCTCGGAAGATGCGGTGACACGCTTCATCAGATTTTGCTGTGCTGAGAAGCGTACCGACAAGCGCACAAGCGGCACGTTCTTTGCATGCCAAGCCCCCATCTATCCCGTGCGCTCGGCGTTCAAAGCATGTACAGTCCGCTGTATAATAGCAGCTTGCGCACCTCTTGCAGATCTCATCAGTCAAAGTGCGAGTAATAAGCGAATACAATCGTGTTCGAGTCTAGTCCTAAAATTGTGAGTATGTATATAATCACGAGTCCGAGTTGCTGGCTTGCTGGATGCTACTTCTGCTTGCGGCTGCTGCTGCATGCATGCGCGCTGCAGGGCGCGCGAGCTGTCAAACGTGCGCGCACCAAATTCAAGTCGCCGTATAGATCGAGTCAAGAGTTAATTGCGTCATATGATGCTGACGGCGAAGCTGAAATTACGAATCTTTGAAGCGTGAATCAAGAAATCACAATCTTGAATCAAGAAGCAAAATCACGAATCGTAAATGTGTAAATTCAAAATACTCACTCACCATCACGCGTTTGCACACCCGACACTCAGACTCAAGACTCACTGTTGTGTGAATCTGAAGCGTCAACGTTGGACGCACGTACCAGATTCGGAACGCATTTGATTGTTTTTCAAAACTTTGCTTGTCGACTGGCAAGCAGACGACTCCTACCCCTTCTTTCTTTCCAAATACACTCATCACAAGAACTCGAGATTGGACCTCAGCAGCGTTCACGACGGACCTGGCATAACGTACGCACGCGGTACGTCGCCCTCGAGCTCATTTGCTAAGAAGCGCGCAGACACATGGGAACACGGCGGAGCGCGCCGAACACGCACAAGGACACATCAAGTCGTACTCTCATCAGTCTTTCAAGCCATTATCACTCTCGACATCATCAACAACCAGCAAGCAAGAGCAGACTTGCCATCCTCCATTCATTTCTGGACGTCTTGGGCGCACACGCAACATCGAGACCTCTTGCCTCCAAGCTGCTCGACTGCTCGACTGCTCGCGTGGACAGCATACAGCCCGCTTCTTCACTAGCGCAACCCTTGCCTGATTCACAAGCGCACGACATTTCTGATTTTGCAAAGTCCTTACCGCCCGATGCAAGCTTTTCATCATGGCACGCCCACCAAACGGCAACGGCAAGGCGGATCAGGCGCTAGGCGCACCTTCAGCTGTTGCGGTTCAAGTGAACATTGATACGCAAGTAGGAGTGGCTCAGGCCAGCTCAGAAGGCGCTTCTCCAATGTCGACTTCGCCAGATCTCTACAAGCCACAGATGCTTCATCCAGCCGATTCGCCAGGCAGAAGCATAGATGCCACTGCCCGGCCTACTCGGCAAGGCGCCAGCGCCGCAGGGGTGAGCCAGCCCGGTGGAAGTGCTGCGAGCATGCTACATGCAGCGTGGAGTTTGGCTGCTGAAGCTAGTGGCAGCGCAGACGGCTTGGAAAGCGTCTCGACCGCTCTCAGAGGTCAAGCTGCTGCTGTGGTCGCCAAAGCCGGAGCTGAAAATGGCCGGACTGGTGGTGACGCTGCCGCCGCTGCCGGAGGTTCAAGTAGCGTGGCATCCGCAACCCTTGGTCTGGGCAGCGCTGCTGCTGCGGGTGCGATGGCAGGCACTAGCGAGACGATGGCTCGGAGAGCGAGCAACTCTGCTCAATACTCTGCTGCGCTCTCGGCCCAAATGTCGAGCGCTCTGCAAAGCAGCCAGAACAAGGTTGCGACGGACCCCGCTTCCACAGTTGCGAGCGGATCTGGCTCTTCGCCAGACACTGCCGCGACCGGACAACTTGGAGCAACGCCAGCCTTGATGCAACCAGAATCGCCTCGTACTGCTCAAGCCCAGGTCGGAGAGCTGGCAGCTCGCGCCGCTTTGATGGAAGGCGAGAGCCAGATGCGAGTGGTTGCCATGTTGCAAGCTAGTATCGGTGGCAGTACGAGCGCACAAGAAGCTGCTGTCATGTTGCCTCTGGCTAGCGTCACGGGACTTGCAGCTCGAAGAGCCAGCGCCTCCGCGGCGGCGGCAGCAGCAGCAGCAGCGAGCAGTTCGACGGACAGAACAATCCGACAGACTACCCTCGCTGCTGCTCAGAACAGCGCCGTTTCTTCTAGCGACGCTTCCACTGTTCCCTCTTACCTCGACAGACTGGGCCTCTCCCATATCACTTTGCCCACTTCGGGCTTCGAACAGGCGTGGGGCAGACCGGCAAAAGATGCTGGTCAGGCACAGCCATTGAAGAAGGGAGAAACGTCTAGCAGACATTATTGGGATGCGGGAGATCCCAGGATGGGCTTCAATCTGGCGGGTGTTCCAAGCATGCCTCGTGAGTAGCCTGTGCGAGCTAGGCGAAGAAGTCCTGCGAATGCTCACCCTTCCGCAATCAATGACAAATGCCAGTCATGCCAACGCCACCGCTACAAATGTTGCCGCCTCCTACGTCTCCAATCCATGCGAGGCGCGGAGGCGGAGTCGACCTGCCGACGACACCATTCTTGTCATCTTCCAAAGATTCTCGAGGTCATCATAGCATTGCGCATAGCGTCGTCGGTAGTCCGGGGTTGAGCTCGACATTGCCGTACCCGTTTCAGGTGGTCCAGACACCTGGGGGAACAGCAAGAGCCGGCTGGTGGGTGCCTCCCGAACATGTCGCACCCAATAAAAGGAAAGAGGTGGAGAAGCTCAGCGAGGGCGCCTTGGTTGCGCCACGTCTAACGCCTAGCCTTGCAGCCACAACATCATCATCGTCATCAACATCATCAGCAGCTTCCGAGGGCGCCAATGTGCATGCGGTGCCCACTGCTTCGGCGTACACTCATCATGTCTCAAAGGAAGATCTTGTCTCCACAACTGGCACTCGAGGCGCCTCCTACGTTCATTCATCGTCCGATCAGAAGCAACAGGACTTCGCACCTCCAGTCGAGGTCTTGCCCCTCTTTCAGCCCGCGTGAGTATAGCTATTTGAACTTTCTCTTGGTTTTGAACCTTGCTTCATCCTGGTCTTTGAGCGTTGTCTCGAGTCTCACGTGCAGCCAAGCCTCGTCACGACCATGAGCGCGTGCGCGAGACTGTGCTGGCTTCAACGCCGTAGGGTTCTCCAAATTTCGCTGTCGAGCGCGTGCGAGAACGCCAACGCCGGCTGTATGGCTGAGGTACGTGTTGTTAGCTGGGTGCCCTCGCCAAGGGGATTCCTGGCGCAGACGCACGTTTGGTCGAGGCGTTGGGCTATCTAGGTATCCGTCTGCGCGTTGCGCCAGCCAAATGCGGCGGAGAGGCCAGCCTAGCTGTGGCGACGAGCACGCAAACTCCGATTTGTTTTGCTTTGCAGCGGCAAACGCCACCGATTGACAAGACGGGTGTGGAAAGTTGCGACGGACGCTGATCGCCGACTCAAAAAGGTCAGATTGTAGAGTCTCGGCGTTCAGTGCTCATGCAGCGCTTCGTGTCGCACATCTGTCTCACCTCGGTGATCTTCCGACCGCTGCCCAACCTTGTTGCCCTGTCAGAGGCCTGCTCTCATAAGACTGTCGTCACTGGCTGTTCGTCCCGAGCGTCCAGAAACTTCTTTCGAGGGAAGCCTTTGTGTCTGCCAGTCACCATTTCGCTCCATCCCAACGCGCGCGCGCTTGCTTTCTCTACCTGTGCACTGCATGTGCACGCAACACAGTCGCAAACGAGTTCGTCATCATGCTGACGAGACAATCTTAAAACGCAGTTATCGAGTGCTTCAGCCGGACGAATATGCTGTCCTGGCATCTGCGGCTGCGTATGCCACCGCGGCACTCACCACGACGACCAGTGGCGCGCCATTTGATCCCACCGCACCGGCCGAAAGAGCGCTCAAGGGCGATGTGGTCATGGAGCGCCCCCTGAGTGCAGAAGAGCAGGAAGCGATCGCTGTGCAGCTCAGGGCTTGGGCCGGGTTGCAAGGACCTGAAAAGCAAGCGGAAGCGAGGCAACATTTGGAAGAGCACCAATCTCAGATATTTGCACAGCAGCAGCAGCGCATGCAGTCTGAAGCTCGCGGGTCGAGAGGCGTCTCTGTTGCAGAAGCTAAGCTCCAGACTTCGGGTCCTCAGCTCTTTCCGCCTGATTTTGCGAGCCATTACAGAACGCAGCTGCGGGCTTTGGCCGAAGGCTACTACACCCGCTTGCACCGTGATGGACTGGCTCGAGATCACTATGCGCCGCACGCAGCCGAGAGGGCATCCTCCCTCGCTGGTCATGCCAGGACATCTGGAGCGTTATCGTCCACGGCTGTAGCCACGCATCCATCTCAGCTGGCCGCATTCGCGAGCCAACCTGGTCGCCCAGCGAGAGGAGACTCGGGCAAATGCTTTCCCGATAGCGCTTTTCAACCGCCTCAGGTCACCCAGCCTGCATTGCAGTCAGGCCGACAATCTGTGCGAGATGCGACAAATGCCGGTGGCCCGGTCAGCTTGGCCGAAAAGGCCAAGGAGGATCTACGCGTCGCGCAAGATGGTTCAGGCACTCGGAATGCAGATGCATCGCCGCTGCCAAGACAACAGCAAGATCTCGCAAGAGAGGGTATCCTGCCGCAAATCCAGCCAGTCGTGGGTCAGGATCCGCTCGACCTCATCTCGGCTGCGTCGTCGGCCGCTGGCGTCGATGTGCACTCTCCAACTGTGCGGGATCAGCTTCTCCAGTACGCCCACGCGCTCTACTCGAGCGGCACTACCGCAACAGCACAGCAGGGACAGCAGTCGTCGTCGCGGGGCGAAGATGGACAAGGTACCAATGGACATGCCCAGCAACAAGCCGAGAACGCACCTGCTCGCCCTAGTGCTACTCTGCATCCTACACTGTTGCCTTTGCTACACACCTTGCACAAGCTGCATCCCCAGCACCTGCCCACCCTGCTCTTGCTTTCCTGCGCTTACTACACGTCGGGCGACTTGGCGGCTAGCTTGCACTACAACAAGCAGATCTTACGAACGGATCCCAACTACGTGGAGAGCATGTCCAATATCGGCACCACCCTTCGAGCGCTTGGACGTTGGCGAGAGGCGGAAAGCTGGTGGTGGAGAGCTGTTCGTCTGCGACCTGGCTATTGGGATGCCTACGAGAACCTGCTCGGCGTGCTTTGTTCTCCGCAGCAAGCAAGCGAGGAGGAACAATCCGTTCGAGTTGAAGAAGAGCGGGTGTCCCCATCGACCGAGGACAATCCACGGCATCATGAGGGCCAGCAAGATGAGAAGTCGGGTACGGGGCCGCGCTTCCGAGAAGCCTTGAGGCTGTGCGAGTTTGTCGAAGCTCATGTGCTCACGCGCCGCAGCGATCAGGATGGTAGGGATGCGTCGAGAACGCGAAAAGTGCCAGGTGGAGATCACCCTCAGTGCATGCCCCAGCATCTACCGACGTCGCAAGTATGCCGGCTTCAAAATTTGTTCTACGCCAAGGGTACGTCATTGAGAAGTCACTGTTCTCCAATTGATCCGCTTACCCTCGTCTGCCTTGTCAACAGGAAACCTCAAGTACGTGCTGCCCGAGGCCGGTCTAGTGCCTGCAGCTCGCGCTTACCAGCAAGCGGTTGAAGTGGTCTTGTCGCCCTCGGAGTCTAGCGCACATAGTTTGCGGGATCTGGCCGTGGCGACTTGCGTCGCGGGTCTGCTTTCGCTTGGCACGACGTTGCCAGGATCAGCCGCTGCTCAGGCCGCGAGCGAGGTCGCTTTGTCAATCGGACTTGATCCCAGTGACTCGACGCAGACAGCTTTGGTCGCACAAGGCAATTATAGCCAGCTCAGCTCACGCGGGATCCTGGGCGCAGTGCGCGACTCGGGAGACCGCATCGTCAGCACGCTCTTGCGACTTGGTGGAGGTCAATTGCCGATGGTCATGCTGCTGCCAGACTCTGCCGTGCAGCTTGTCCGACTTCTTTTTGCTGAAACGTCTGGTGCGCTACCTGCGATGTACTCTAGCTCTCAGCAGCAGCGCCAATCGCCTGCTAATCAGCATCAGCAGGCCTTGCAGCAGTCTGCTCAGACCACCAGCACCATCCTCTTGACGCTAGCCAAGTTGTTTCAGGATGCTATCGCGAATCCGACTGCTGGGTCTCATGGACCCTTGACTCTCGGCGGCATCCCAGCATCTACATCGCTCTTGTTGCCACTGTACTATCTCTCCATCTCGCTACACCCATCCGCTTCGACCGCGAACAATCTTGGCATCTTGCTGTCTTCCATTCCCGTCGTGACCCACATTGTCAATGCGACGGGCCAACGACAACAACTGAATGGACAGGCTCTGGCACTTCAATACTATACGTATGGCTTGCAACTTGATCCCAGCAACGCTCACTGTCACTGCAACCTAGGTTCCCTACTCAAAGATCTTGGACACATCAACGAGGCCATCCAGATGTACGAAAAGGCGGTTCAGCACAATCCCACGTTTGATGTCGCTTTGGCCAACCTCGGCAATGCTATCAAGGATCAAGGCAGGACGCAAGAGTCGGTACAGTATTATCGACGCGCAGTCGACGTCAATCCTCGCTTCCCAGAGGCGTTGTGCGGCCTCGTCAACGCTCTGCTTGCCATTTGCGATTGGCGCGAGGTTTATTCCGAGAAGCCTGAGTGGGCCGGCTGGATGACTGCTGTGAGGTCTCTCCTCACAAAGCAGCTACAGGATGGCGCGAGCTATGGTGTAGGCGCTTTGCAGGCTACTGCTACGCTGCAAGGCTGGGTCGACTCCGTTCAGACATCTCTAGGCGATCGGAGGAAGAGCGTACAGCAGCAGTGGACTGCTCGCTTTGAGCCGTTCTTCCGCTCGCTTGATCGCGAAAAGGCCAGCGTGAACGAGGGTTCCTTCGTCATTCGCCTGATTGAACGCCTCCTGCGCCGCATTCAGCGTCGCTGGTACCTCAGCAGATATGGACACTCCGTACGGGTGCCTGCGTCTGAAGCGCAGCCCCAAATCCAGCCACAAGCGTCAGACGTGCAGCAGTATCCTCGACTGGCTTTGCCTTCGTGCCTCGTGACGCCAGCAGTCCCGACGGTCCTTCCCTTTCACACTTTTACATTGAAGATTCTTCCACGCCACATTCGTCTCATTTCTCATCGCAATGCGCTTCGACTCACGCAACAGACCCTCAGTCAGCAATGGCTGCCAGCACACGTATACCCCCCGCCACCGCCACCAGCATCAAGACTCCGCATCGGCTACGTATCCTCAGATTTTAACAATCATCCGCTGGCGCATCTCATGCAGTCGGTATTTGGGATGCACGACCCGCAACGCTTCGAGATCTTCCTGTACGCCACCACAGCTTCGGATGGTAGTCCCTATCGACAAAAGATTGAGAAGGAGGCGCAAAATTTCTACGATGTCTCCACTTGGTCGAACCAGCAGATCGTGCAGCGCGTCTTGGCGGATGGTTGCCACATTCTCATGAATTTGAGTGAGTCCTGCAGGTCTTCACGACATCGTTATCGCTTCACGCTTACAAATTCCGAGTCCGGCAGATGGCTACACCAAGGGCGCGCGGAATGAGATCTTCGCTGCTCGGCCGTGCCCCGTGCAAATGGAGTTCATGGGATTTGCTGGCGGTCTGGCCTCGGGCTGGATCGACTGGCTGATCGTTGATCCAATCGTTTGTCCCCCGGAGCAGACAGCTGGCGACCTGTGGCGCACGAAGCGAAGAGAGGCCCTGGAGCAAGGCACGGAGCTGGTTGCGCGCCCGACCGATTTTGCCGGCGATTTGGATCCTGAAGAACCGAGCGATGATTGGATGTACACAGAGAGGTGCGTCTACATGCCGAAGTCGTACTTTGTCTGCGATCATCGTCAAGGCTTTAGAGAGCCAGAAGAGCGTCGCGCAATCGACGGCAGGGTCGTGCATCCCCACGAAATGTCTGATGAGGAGGCGTGGGCGGAAGAAGAACAGAGACGTTGGAAAGCCCGCAAGGAGTGAGTCTTCGCGTGAATGATGGCGCGTGGGCGCAAGCTCATCCTCTTCGACGCACAAACGTGTAGGCTGTTCCCATCCATTCCAGACGATTTTGTCATCTTCTGCTGCTTCAATCAGCTTTACAAGCTCGAGCCGGTGCGTAGGATATTGCCCCAATTGTGCGACTCGTGTGGCTGACTCAACAAATTGGGCAATCTATAGGAGGTTTTCAAGGCATGGCTGGAGATCCTGAAGCGAGTGCCTAATTCCATCATCTGGCTGCTACGATTCCCAGCTGCGGGCGAAGTGCACCTCATGCGGGCAGCACGCGAATGGGCCGGAGACGAGGTAGCCTCTCGCATCGTCTTCACGGAAGTAGCGCCCAAGGGTGTGCATATTCATAGAGGACGTATCGCAGACTTGTTCCTCGATGCATGGGAGTGCGGTGCTCACACGACGAGCGCCGACATTCTTTGGAGCGGCACGCCGGTACTCACCTGGCCCAAGCACTTGCACAAGATGTGTTCTCGTGTGGCTGCAAGCATCGTGCATGCCACCGGACATGGTGATCAGATGATCGTCAATTCTGAAGAGGCGTACATCGAGCGTGCAGTCGCGCTTGCTCAAGAATTACAATACGAGTACTGGGACGGCAAGGGTAATAGCCTACCGGCAGTCGCTTCTGACATACAGGTCACTGCCGAGGCGTTGTGCATCAACACTGCAAGCGGTGCCGCACAACCCCACGTCGCTCCTCAGCAGCAACAATCGCAGGCCACCTCGGAGGGAGCGCCGGCTGCTCAAAAGACTGGCGCGCCTGGGCAGACTACGGAGCAAGCGCCAGCGAACGTCAAGCAGAATGCGGCCAACGCTGCAAATGCCCCCACGCGCGAAGAGCTGGCCGAGGTCAGTCCCCCTCGTTCGCAGATCCTTCTGAAAATTGGCCCGCAAGCACCCGCAGGAGCAAGGATGCGCAGAGGAGCTGGAGAGCTGTCCGATCTGCGCCGCAAGCTGTTCCTGGAGCGCGATCGAGATGGAGGTTTGTTCGACACAAAGGCTTGGACGCGCGCGTTGGAAGCTGGCTACGAAGAAGCTTGGAGGAGATACGTTGCTGGCACGGATGTGGAAGATTCGCCAGAATGGGAAGCGCTGCCTGAGGATGCGCCTGAGAAACTGAGTGCGCATATATGGGTGCGAGACGAGTGAAGCGCAACTGCGATGCCCAGGCAGCACCTCCACATTCCTATTTAGCTCGCTACGGACACTTGAGATTTGCTGTCGATGCACATTTTACAGCCACCTGCCAGCTCTACACGTAGAACCATCTTGCACGCTGCTCCCGCTTCGGTAATAACAGATTTTAGAAACTGATCCTCGCGTGTGACTCATTCTCCCTTCGACTGAGACGCAGCGCTGCACGATCGCGTGGCGCTAGAAATCTATATGAACATCGGATTGCATGCAGCTTGCGCAAGCGATCGTGCGGAAGGTAATGAACGGGCTCCTCTCGCTCCGTATTCATCAGAGACGGCTCGTTGAGCAGTGTGCTGGGCTAGGATGGCAGGCTAGTCAGGCGTTGGAGGGCAGCATCAAAGGTTTCTCGATCTCATCCCTCTTCTCCTTGCCCTGCAGTGCCTCGACGATTGCAAGACCAAAGTGAAGCGACGTTCCCGGCCCTCGACTAGAAAGGTTTGGTAGTCGGCGTGGGACGGATTTTGTTCATGAGCGAGCGAGCGACTCAGCGCGCGAGGCCGGCCCTGCTGCTGCTGCAGAAATGCTGATCGGTGCAAACTCGAAGACTCACCTAGTGATGAGCTTATCGCTGACAACCACGCTATCCTCCTTGTAGTGATAATCTGCATCAAGTTGATCCTTGACGGAAGGATGAGAAGTGATGGGACTATCCTTTGCTACTCCTGCTGCTTTGATAGCTAGACTACCTGCGCATATAGCAGCCACCACTTTACCCTTGCCGTAAGCGGCGCTCAACAAAGCTTGAACATCCTCATTGGCCGAAATGGTGGCTGAACCTTCGTTGCCTCCTGGAACGATGAACGCGTCATATTCTAGCGCCTGATTAGCGACACGAGGACACGAGAAAGACGATCTGAACGCTCAGCAAGAAGGTGGACCATAGGACCCGCACAACGACATGTCGACGAGCAGCGCGCCCCCTGCCTCACCTTGCCAGCTAGCTCGTCCAGCTTCTTGTCCGGCTTGATCAGCACGCCTCTAGAACACTTGACTAGTTCGGCAGCATGAGGATCTTGAGCATTATGGTTGGAAGAACCGACGTGGACCGAAGTGACTTGTACGCCCCCTCTGACCAGCACATCATACGTGGCCACAAACTCTGTTTCCTCTGCGTATTCATGTGCCGAGTGAGAGAGGAGGATGTGAAGGCGTGAGCAGCAAGCGGAGTGTTGGTGAGCAAGCATGAATGATTGGGCTAAGTGACACCCGCCTCTGTCATTGCGACGACTCACCTGTACCCTGCGCAATGAAGATCAATGCGCGAGGAGCTGTCATCCTTGCAAGCTGCCAGATGGGGGAGTGGGGCAGTCAGTTGGACACAGGACTGCGTTCCCGGCGTTGCTGTGTTATCGTGTCCGATGGGAGCGAGTCGATGGACGAGATGCTGAAGCAGTGCCTTGATGAATGAGATGAGGGGGCGATCAAATGCGTTTCAACTTTGCGACCCGTGCGCGGACGACTGTTGAGATGGTAGAGTATGCAATGAAGGGGCGCGTTCGAGTTGGGAAGAGAGATGAAGCGGGTGCGATGCGATATGGATGGGCGAGAAGCAATCGCAATGATAATCACGAGTTGCGAGTGATTGAAAGGACAGCTGCAGGACGCAGGGCTGAAGCTGCAATTTGAATCAACAGTCGTGAGTCGTGACTCTTCTGAACTCGTAGGTACACTCACGACTCGCTCTCACGACTCGTGATCGTGACTGTTTTCTGCTGCATGAGAAGCGCGAAACCCGCGGCCGGCACCGCCTTAGCGTGGTATTCGCGGCCTCCACAAGGCTGTGAGAAGCGAGCGCGCGTCTGATGGCGCTCATTCACGATTCTCGATTGGACGGGGCAGGGCATGCAGTCAGCATGTTCTCGAAGCAGCATATAGGTGCTGTGCGGTTAGGAGTCTTGATGAGATCTAATCAAGAATCAAAATCAAAAGATAGAATC